ATCAAACCTCAGGTTTGACACATGCGCATCCCATATAGGCGACATTTTGTTTCAATGGAAGGTGATGTTTTTGTAGGGAACGAGGTATGTGTGGTGTCTTCATCAATCTCAAGATATGTCGGCTCAGTCTCTTCAAGATGCTCATAGGGGTACAATTTGTGTGCTTGTGTTCATAGAAGGTGACTGTGTTTGTGTTTATGTGTGTCTGCGTTTGTACTGTGTCTTAGAAAAAACAAATTGCGTTTAATTATCAAATTTGAGATCTTAAACTTCATATGTATATTTATCTCAATTTTTTTATATTTTTAATTTTTTTTCTTGGGTTTTACACATATATTTAATTGAATTAATGGCAAAGTTGAAATTTCAAGATTTGTCAATGACCAAAGCTTATGTTATTTGTGCTATGGATGGCATGTATTTCAATAAAATTAAGGTGTTTGCTGGACTGAGCAGGCTGGGCTCGAACCTAGAAACGTGTCTTCAAGTAACTCACTCGGTACCAACCGAAACTCCACAAAACTTGTCTTGTCGCATTTGCTATTATGGTATTTCCGTTGCAAACATAAGAATGATTCTCCAATGAAAAGTCCTAATGCGGAATTTGTAATAAATTTGAGTTCCAGTAAATTATTGATGACATGGATATATAAAGGTAAATGATACACGTCGCCTGATCGATTGGATTGACCGGGTCTTCCGGCCACACTTTCTGTTAGCGAGTACCTCTTCCCTTTGGACTCAGACAAGCGCAAGGTAGCATCCTCATAGGAGCGTCATGTGGATGCTCCTCTCTCGGACTCCTCTGGGCTCCTCCCCTGACACTTCCTCTCCCCATCCCTCCTCCCATCAGCGCTTACCGTCATGGACCTTCAACTGGAGCTCAGAACCACAACCACCAATGGCGCCAAGCCCCGGGAAGGCACTAAGACTACGAGGAGGGGCTCTAGGGGCCCCCCAATCCAATGGGGTGGGGCTTCGGCGAGCTAGATTTGCCATCGACAGGTCCAAACGGCGATTTCGGTGCTCCAAAATGAAGGCCAGTTATTTGGGGAGTTTTCATGTTACATACATACGTTCGTTTGCTATTTTAGTATTTCCTTCACAAACATAAAAATGATTCTCCAACAAAGGTTGTGATATGAAAATACATTTTCTATATATGGTTTTGCATTATACCTTGCTAGTAAGTTAGAGTTTCAGTAAATTATTGATGACATGGATATATAAAGGTAAATGATACCAGTCGCCAAGACGGTCGGATTGACCGGGTCTTTCGCCCGCACTTTTCCGCTAGCGATGTCTCTTCCCCTTGGATTCAGACAAGCTTAAGGTAATGTCCTCATAGGAGCCTCATGTAAATGCTCCTTTCCAAGACTCCTCCTCTCCCTCCTCCCATCGGTGCTCACCTCCATGGACCGTCAAATGGAGCTCAGAACCAAAGCCATCTATGCCGCCAAGCCCCGGGAAGGCACTAACACTACGGGGAGTGGCTCTAGGGGTCCCCGATCCAATGGTGGTGGGGCTCCGGCGAGCTAGATTTTTCGTCGAAGGGCCCAAACAGCGAGTTCGGTGCTCCAGAAAGGTTAGTGATTTGGGTATTTTTCATGTTACATACATACATTCGTTTGCTATTTTAGTATTTCCTTTCCAAACATGAAAATGATTCTCCAACAAAGGTTGTGATACGGAAATACTTTTGCTACATATGGTCTTGCATTGTACCTTGTTAATAAATTAGAGTTTCAGTAAATTATCGATGACATGGATATATAGGGTAAATGATACATGTTGCCAGGATGGTTGGATTGACTAGGTATTTCGCCCGTACTTTCCGCTAGCGATTTCTCTTCCCCTTGGACTTAGACAAGCTCAAGGTAACGTCCTCATAGGAGCCTCATGTAGTTGCTCCTCTCCCAGACGCCTCTGGGGCTCCTCCCCTCGCTCCTCCCATCAGCGCTTACCGCCATGTACCTTCAACTGGAGCTCAAAACCAAAGCCATCTATGCCGCCAAGCCCCATGAAGGCACCAAGACTACGAGGAGTGGCTCTAGGGGGTCCCCTGATCCAATGGTGGTGGGGCTTTGGCGGGCTAGATTTGCGGTCGAGGGGCCCAAACAACGAGTTTGGTGCTCCAAAATGAAGGTCAGTGATTTGGGGATTTTTCATGTAGATACATACGTTTGTTTGATATTTTATTAGTATTTCCTTTGAAAACATAAAAATGATTCTCCAACCAAAAATCATGATATGAAATTACATTTCTAAATATGGTTTTGCATTATACCTTGCTAATAAATTAGAGTTTCAGAAAATTATTACGATGTGAATATATAAAGGAAATGACACCCCCCGCCCGATTGATTTGATTGACCGGGTCTTCCGCCCGCACTTTCCGCTAGGGATGCTTCTTCCCTGTGGACTCACACAAGTGCAAGATAACTTCCTCATAGAAGCCTTATGTGGCTGCTCCTCTCTCATCCTCCTCCGGGGCTCCCCTTGACACCCCCTCCCTCCTCCCATTGGCGCTCACTGCCATGGACCTTGAATTGGAGCTTAGAACCAAAGCCCTCTACGCCGCCAAGCTTCGGAAAGGCACAGAGACCACGAGGAGTGGCACTAGGGGTCCCATAATCCAATGGCGGTGAGGCTTCGGCAAGCTAGATTTTTTGTCAACTAGCCCGAATGGCAAGATCAATGCTCCTAAATGAAGGTCAGAATGATTGAAGGAATTTTCATGTTACTTACATACCTCCGGTTGGCATGTTACAATCTCGTTTTCCCACACGCGCGCGTGCCCACACACACACACACACGCACGCACATGACATGGTACAAAATATTGCATACATGCTGCAAGTTGCTTATCCATGGTCTGTATGCACCGTGTGTGCAATGACTTTTCTCAGTGATTTGTTGGGACAAAAAGGAAAAATCATTGCATTAGTTTTTTTCTTCCTTTTTTTGGCATCTTCTTCACATACCATGAGGAATCATGCTACTCCGGCCGGTCCTTTTCAGTCTGCATATTAGATTAGTATGTTGTTAAACTTTACTAATTTTGATCAAATTTATATTAAAGAATATTAACTTCTACAATACCTAATAAATATAGTATAAAAATATATTCCAAGATGGATCTAATGATATTGACGTTGTTATGTGAATGTTATTAATTTTTTGTATAAACCTGATCAAATTTTGAAGAGTTTAATTTCAGACAAACCTAATATGCAGAGTAAAAAAGACCACAGGAGGAAATATCCCGACCCTCCGCGCATTACGCGCGTCTCTTTTGCAACCCGCTCCCCCCTGTTTTCCTGCATGCCCATCCATCCATCTAGATCAGGACTCCTCACACCTGGCCAGTCAAACCCCTATCCTCTTGTCTCCACCGATGCTGCGCAAGAAATGGTTGATGCAACGGCCGCTCCCTCTGCTTTCTTCCATGGCCAAGGCAGCAGCGAAAGTAGGGAGCCGTTTCCCACTAATCGCAGGGTAAAAGCACAGATTATCACCAGTAACTCCGCACCAAAAAATCAGCCTCCACCATACAAAAAGCCATTCACCAACGACCATCCATCCATCCATCCATGCCAGCACACAGTTGTGAGTACACAAAAATACAAACTTTCAGAGTATAACTCTTCTCATTTAGAGCAGCAGAGAAAACAAACAAACAAAAATCGGAGCGAGGACAGCTTTTGCCAATTAGAGTTGAGTTGGAGCAGAGCCAGCCCACCAGTGGCAGCAACGGAATCATCCTCCCCTCCCACCCCACCCCACCTTCTTCTTCGCCTTCTCCTTGGTCAAACCGCCTTTCGCTCTTCTCTACCCCCCTTAAAAAAAGTAGCGGCACCCGGAGCGGAGAACCAACCCAGGTGCGGGCTGGGAATCGAGGCGGGGCACCTCCACAATCTCCCTCTCTCTCCCCCTCTCTCCTCTGGTTCTTTCGGTGTGTTCCTCGTTTTCCGGGAGAGGCCGGGGGAGTTGTTCTTGTCCAGTGGAGTCGGTCCAGACCTACCCTCGCCCGTCTGCGCCCGGCAAGATCTTTGTTTCCCCCCGTTCGCGGCGGCTCCCTCCCTCCCTCCCTCCCTTCTTGGTTGGTGGGAGGCGAAGAAATTTTAGGTCGTCCGGTTTCGCCTGAATTGTTTCTTCTCCGTCACCGGCGGGAGCACATGATCTGAACCCCTCCGCGCCGCGCCGCTCCGTCCATCCGCCTTCTGTTTCGGGGGAGGAGAAGACGGATCAATCGTTCGGTATCGGAGGTATCGTCCACTTCATGAGGTGCCGATTGGGCATTTCTTCCTTTTCTTGTCCGCCTTTATTTCGCGGGGTTTGTTTGTCTATATACTCGTGCGTGCGGCTGATTCGGCGCCGGAATTGATTGTCCGGGAGTTATTGATGATTACCGAGACGGGTTGGCTGTAAAATTTGCATCTTGGTTTCAAAATTTTACCCATTTCAGTCATGGTTTCTCTCTCTAAACAAAGGGGGTTCTTATTTCAGTTATTATGGAATCTTTCCATTTCACATCGAAATTGCATCTATGGGGATTCAGCTCGTGGCCAGCAGTGGGTTGGATTCTCCATTTCATGTCGAATATCTCTCCTCTGTTTTCTTGTGCAATGATTCAGAGCATATGTATGCCTGTAAAAATTACAGCATTTCCGTATGAGTTCGTTCAGTGGTTTAATCAAGGTTTCAGTTCCCCTGAATTTGTTTCTTCATCTCTACCTGCTGCCATGATGTAGCCCAGTGGAAAACAGAATTGTGTCGGTCTGTGTACTGCCCATTTATGATTGGTTGCCTTTTACTATGTCATAGCACCTGCATAATTTGTTGTGCTTACTACTGATTCTGATCAGCATTTATTGTAAGTTGTGCTGTCGTGAAAAGGAAGCTTTTGCTTAATTTCACAGTCAAGCATCCAAGTGTTTTGACAGTAGTACTAATGTGGTGTACCTTGTTGTTTCAGCTGAGGAAGATTTCTTGCTCACATGGCCGGCACCAGCGATCGTGGATCCCTCATGGAGGACTGGATGGCCATGCCGCCGACACCCAGCCCGAGAACGCTCATGTCAAGCTTCTTGAATGAAGACTTCAGCTCTGGTCAATTCTCCAATTTTTTCGGCGAACATGTGAGCAACAAGCCCCATGATCAATCAGAGAAGAGAGGAGAGCTTGTGGATTTGAGGGAGCAAGTGCCTGCTCAGTCAGCTACAGATACAGCTACACCCCAAAAGGATTTTTCCCTGCAACCAAATTCGTTCAATGCTAATCAGAAATCAAACCCACAGGGATCTCTAGCTGAGCGCAGGGCTTCGAGAGCTGGTTTCAGTATCCCCAAGATTGATACATCTCGTGTGGGTTCATCCACAGTTATTCGATCACCCATAGCAATTCCACCTGGTCTTAGTCCAACTACTCTTCTTGAGTCACCGGTCTTTCTCTACAATGCTATGGTATGCCATCTTCTCATAACTGGTGCCACCAATAATTACTTTCTCTATCCGGGTTTAATAGGCCGCTGGACATGATCGTTTGCTCTTCCCTCTAATCCCCTCCGTACCGTTTCAGATTTTGATACAATTAATCATGAATCTTTAGTTAGCGTATGTGCGGGTAAAAATGGATCAGTGTACTTGTGGTTAAAAAACAGAAGTACCTATTGATTGAGGTTGTGGTAAATTTTACTTTGAGTTAACAATTACCAGTAAACACATGAAAGTTCCATTTACCAGACATTTAGTTTTCCTGAAGTATATATAAGAACATTTATCATCGTCTTGTTTTTGCAGAAAGCATTTGATGCGGCACATGGTTTTGTGCAGTATAGAGACTTGTGATTTCAACGTTGTCTTATTCTATCAAGAAGAACATTGCTGTCCGAAAAAATGACCTCTGTTTAGAAATTTACAAAAGTTGCAAATTTGGTTCTATGTTTTGATTTCAAAGCCGATGATCTTAATTCAACACTCATAAATGGTCAAATACATATGTGCTTACCACATGATATCCACTGTGTAAATGTGGCTGAAATGATTATGATCTGTTACAGGCACAGCCTTCTCCAACCACTGGCAAACTGTTCGTTGCTTCAGAGGCTAACTCAACAATGCCACCAGATAGCACGTTCAGTAACGATGTTTTTTCCTTCCAACCCCACTCTGGCCCAACAAGTTACTCAAATGTGGAAAAGGTAATATCCTTGACTGTTAGCACTCTTTGTTTGCATTCTACTGTTCACTTCTTTTTATTGCCCCACTTTTATATGCCTGTTCTTTTAATGTTATACAGGGTTACACTGTTTGCCACCAAAACCAGTCGTTGTCAAATATTCATCAGCAGGGATCCAGTCTTCAGTCAAGCTTTACTGCAGCCAAGGACAGTGCCGACGAAACAATCGTTAAACCGAAGACATCTGACTCTGTGTTCAGTGATAATCACTCTTCTGAAGAACAGGAAGATGACGAGGGAGACCAAAATGAAGAATACTCTTCTGCCACAAATAGCAACCCAGCTGAAGATGGATATAACTGGAGAAAATATGGACAGAAGCAAGTTAAGAGCAGTGAGCATCCAAGGAGCTATTACAAGTGCACACACCCAGATTGCCCTGTCAAGAAAAAGGTGGAACGCTCTCAAGATGGTCAGATAACAGAGATAGTCTACAAGAGTTCTCACAATCACCCTTTGCCGCCTCCAAACCGCCGCTCAGGTATCCCTTCGTTGCAAATTAATGATCCACAAGTCCATCTTCTAGAGAAACCTGGTTTGCACACAGGGGTCAACACTGCATCTTTGTGGGAAAATGGTAAAAGTGAGTGCATTCAAGATATGCAAGGTGTTGAGGGAAGACCAGCTGCTGGCCCTCCTGTATCTGCATATGGTGATACATCTATCATGGAGTCCCAAGATGCAGCTGATGTCTCGTCAACGCTGTCCAATGAGATTGATAGAGCAACACAAGGCACCATTTCTTTAGACTGTGATGTAGGTGAAGATGAGACTGAATCCAAAAGAAGGTTAGTGTCCCCCCTCCACTTTACACAGCCATGATGATATGTCTATTCATTGATGAGCCTGGTTATTTTCAGGAAACTGGATGCTTTAGCTGCTGTTACCATTCCTACTGCGACCACCACCAGTTCAATTGACATGGTGGCTGCAGCATCAAGAGCTGTCCGGGAGCCTCGTGTTGTGGTTCAGACAACAAGCGAGGTTGACATCCTTGATGATGGTTATCGCTGGCGCAAGTATGGTCAGAAGGTTGTTAAAGGAAACCCAAATCCAAGGTCAGCTCAATGGCGTTTACGTTTCAGTCACAAGTTGATCATTCGTGTAATGTTTTAGACGGTATTTATTCACCCTGAAATGTAACATCATCTTGTCTACCTGCAGGAGCTACTACAAATGTACGCACCAGGGCTGTTCAGTGCGCAAGCACGTGGAGAGAGCGTCGCATGATCTGAAATCCGTGATCACGACATACGAGGGGAAGCACAACCATGAAGTTCCAGCAGCCAGAAATAGCGGGAACGCGGGCAGTGCTCCAGCATCTGCGCCGCAGGCCAATCTCTCACACCGCAGGCAAGAACAAGCGCAAGGCAGCTATTCTCAGTTTGGTGGCGCGTCTCCCTTCGGTTCCTTCGGCCTTCCGCCTAGAGGCCATCTGGGAGCGGCAGGCAACTTCCACTTCGGGATGGCCCCTCCAGGCATGTCGATGCCGCCGATGCCCGCCGCTCGCCATCCGTCAATGATGCAGGGCTACCCGGGGCTCATGATGCAGGAAGGACAGATGATGCAGGAAGGACAGATGAAGGCGGAGCCAGACCAGCAGTCTGGCTTCGCAGCGTCATCGGCTTACCAACAGATGATGGGCAGGCCCCCCTTTGGTCCCCAGATGTAAATAATAGGATGCAAAAAAAGGAAAGATAGATGTGCTCCGGCTTGCCTGTATACATGGTAGCTTCGTTCTAGTTTCTCTTGGTCACCATTTTTTTTAATCTCGTGGGCATTTTTTGTAAGCAAAGAATGCAGAGGACGGTTCTCATATCTTTCAGTTGCTTGGAATCAGAAAGAAAAGGGATAGCTTCTAAGACAATTGGGCATTGGTTAAATCAGTAAAAATCACTCAAGTTATGAGGGTTAGCAGCAGCTCATATGGTTGTCAAGTGCTACTACACCTGGTGCTTTTTCGTACTCTCTTTATTCCAAAATAAGTGTTGTGGTTTTAGTTCAAACTGTTTTAAATTTGAACTAAAATCATGACACTTAACAGAGAGAGGAGGTTTCTTCTGAAAGAAACATTGGTTTGTGGGTTATAGCATCTCCAGTCGTTCGGGCCCCCAAGAACCTGAAATATTGCCGCTGGGGGCCAACCGGCGGGAATTTTGGCGTGGGGCAGCTCGGTTCCTCGCCGACCCCCCAAAGTTCGCCCTCCAGCTGCTGATTTCGACCCAAATCCGGCGTGCATCGGCGCAAATTCAACATAAAGTAATTTTTATCACATAGTGTATCACAGGAATCAATACAAATTAAATAGTTCAACAAAGCAAACTCATAATTCAAACACAAATTAAAACTCATAGTTCATCATACGTCGAACTAGGCGTTGCCCTTGAGCCTTCATAGATGCTCCACCAGATCGTGCTGCAGTTCTTGATGCACCTATGGGTCTCGGATCTCCTGACGCATATTGAGGAAGGCAACCCATGATGCCGGTAGCTAGTGATCAACTTGGGCAAGAGGACCCTGCCAGTAATATGGTTCAGTGTCGGACATTGACTCTTCATGCTCGCTCTCAATGATCATGATGTGCAAGATGACACAACAAGTCATGACTTCCCACATTTGATCTTTCGACCAAGCCAGAGCGGGGTACCGGACAACAGCAAATCGAGATTGGGGCAAACCAAATGCCTGCTCAACATCCTTCCTGCAAGCCTCCTGACACTTGGCAAAGTAGGAGTTCTTCCATCCTGACACAGGGTTTGAGATAGTCTTCACAAATGTGGACCATCTTAGATAGATGCCATCTGCTAGGTAGTATCCCTTGTTGTAGTGGCGCCCATTGACCTCGAAGTTCACCGGAGGAGTATGACCTTTGACAAGCTTGGCAAAGACATTTAAGCATTGCAGTACGTTGATGTCATTGTGAGTTCCTGGCATACCAAAGAAGGAGTGCCAAATCCAGAGGTCATGTGTGGCCACTGTCTCAAGTACCACACTGCAAAGCTCCTTTGGCACCTTCGTACATCCCCTGTCAAGCAAATGGACAGTTTTTCCATGCCCAATGCATGCAGTCAATGCTTCCCAGCATCCCAAGAAATTCTCTTGTTGCATTCTGTGCTAGGATTCGAGCAGTGTCTTCGGCATTAGGTGATCGCAAGTATTGTGGTCCAAACACTGTCACCACTGCCCTGCAGAACTTGTACACACACTCAATGGGCGTGGACTCGGCCATGCGTCCATAGTCTTCCAATATATCAACCGGAGCTCCGTATGCAAGCATCCTCATAGCTGTCATGCATTTCTGGAGTGAGATGAATCCAAGTGTGCCCGTGCAATCCTTCTTGCACTTGAAGTAGTTGTCGAACTCCCGGATGGAATTCACAATCCTGAGGAAGAGCTTCCGGCTCATCCAATAACGGTGCCGAAATACTTTCTTGCTGTGCCGTGGAGCGTCGGCGAAGTAGTTGGCGTAGAGCAAGCAATAGCCCTCCAGTCGATGCCTCTACTTGCTCTTACGTCGGCCCGACGCCGAGCCACCTCACCGCGGCTTTGCATTGCTCGCGAACAGGCCGGCCAGAGCGGCGAGGATCATGAGGCTCTCTTCGTCCTGGGTGTCGGCCTCGGCTTCCTCCTCCAGCAGCACCGCGAAAGCCTCCTCGTCATCGGAATCCATCGCCAAACAAGTAAATCACAGAACACCTGGTGGGCGTGGTAGGTGCGCAGCCGTCGGTACCCCCACCCGCGTGGCCAGAGCGCTGGAAAACTCGCCCAGGAGCGGGACAGAGGCTGCCGCGACGAACCCTCTCTTTCCGGCGGGGAAATGGCATTTCTAGCGGCGGAGCAGCGGCTATGGGCAGGTGGGCGGCGTCGGGATCGACAGGGCGGCGAAAGGGGAAGTGTCGTCCTACATCACATGAGGGGGGCGAATCCGGGCATGGAAAAGTCGTTTTTCGCCTGACATTGGTGGCCCATATGCCACTTTTCCTTTCGCCGGAGCCCCCAAGCGCCCCCAGTGTGCTGGGTTCGGCCCGAGATCGCCGGGCCAAAAAATGGGCCGAGCCGG